AGAACAAACTGAGGCCAATACTAACAAAGTCGTTGGAACATAGTATGCACACCTGAACTTGCTCCTTTTCATATTCCGCTATTCCTTTTGTTTCCCCTGATCTTCATTCTACTTTTTCAGTGGTTATCTGTCTCCTGAGTATGTTGTGGATGGACTTTTTTCAATTAAATCTGATGTTTTTAGTTTCGGGGTTTTGGTACTTGAGATAATAACTGGGAAAAGGAATAGAGGATTTCGACACCCAGATCATGATCATAATCTTCTTGGACATGTAAGTTTAAAGAATGGCACTCTTTTCTCCCTTATTTAACCTACATATCAACAATGGTTCTTCGTTTTTCAGGCATGGATGTTGTGGATAGAAGGGAGGCCAATGGTACTGATTGAGAATGTCCTTAGTGAGTTTACTACACCATCAGAAGTTTTGAGATGCATTCACATCGGGCTCTTATGCGTGCAGCAGAGACCAGAAGACAGACCAGATATGTTATCGGTGGTTCTAATGTTGAGGGGTGACAGTGCATTGCCTGAACCAAAGCAGCCTGGGTTTTTCACAGGAAGGAACCTGCCAGTAGTTGAGTCTGCAGGAAGCAGGCATGATTCAAGTTCAATAAATGAGGTTTCTATTACGCAATTAGATGGACGATAGTGTAAAAAAATGAAGTAGCAAAAAATGGTATTCAATTGTCACAGAAATGATTACCAAGATGATATTCCACCTTCAATTCAGTGCATTTGAAATTGAAGTCGCTTTGCGTTGACAAGATAATAAGAAACGTATTTTACAGCTATTAAATTTGGTCCTTGAAATAAATAGTTCTAATTACCATAATGATTATCAGCGAATAAGGAAGTAGATCATTCTAAAACCAAAAATTTATTCACTTGAACATAGATAACAAGCCAAAGCTGGAAGGGAAAGATCATATACTTATATCTTCTACTTTTTCAATACTCATAACAGCCTGCATGATCAGATCTGGTCTGACAAAATTAAAATGATTAATAAAAACATTTTCATCGATATGAATCATATGAAGATTGAATTTCTCAGATATCAGGCTGTTAATGGTATTATGCTCATGTTATTCAAGGAATATGAACATAATTCAACCTTGGTTGATTATTAATCTTTTTCCAGACAAGCAAACATGAATAATCTGGAAAAAATGATGTCACCATGACACTGTTAGAAGTATGCTAGTATATTATGAAAGATGGAAGGAGTTGTCAACTGGATAAGAATAACAAAGATCAATATTGACCGGAATTACTCAAGGAAAGGTTTTCATTGAGTGATGAAAAAATCCTCCATGGTGTCTGAGAAAATGATACTCCATGGACTGAGAGGGTTAGAAATTAGCTTGTGTGTTGAATTATATCACAACTTCAACTATCTTGACTTTTTACTACAATCATAGTTTTGGAGAGATTCTATGAAAATTAGAAAACCTAGCTCTTGAGATTAAGAAGTCAGAACATTAGAAAGGACATAATGCTTTTGATTGATTTTAGGTATCAAAATCAAAATTGAAGACCACTAGTTAGCCTCTATCTTTGAATGGTCACATGCTGACAATAAAATCTGTTTCAGTTCCTTCAGGTTCATTAACCAAAAAAACAAACAAAAAAAATGAAAACAACTCTCTTGATGCAATATCCTTTCAATGAATGAGAAATTCGAATTCACACTCATAATTAGTTCCATAAACTAGAAAGCCTTCACGTATGATATAATCTGTGCTTCTTCGCAAAAGAGAAAGTGCCATGAGAAAATCAAAGGAAGACTTGTATATGTTCAATATTGTTTCTCCATTATAAGTAGAGCTGCAACACTAGATACGATTACTCCAGGTCAACACATCACAGATGGTGAAACTCTTGTTTCATCAGATGGAGGCTTTGAGCTTGGATTTTTCAGTCCAGAAGTTTGAAGAGTAAATAAAATGATTGATAATTAAGTTTTCACATATCTGAATCATAGAAAGATTGATATTCTCTACTATCGAGCTGTTAATAGTATAAGGCTCTTGTTATGCAGAAAACATGATTTAGCCTTGATTGATTATGAATCTGTTTCCACAAAGCAACTGTGAATAGTCAGGAACAAACGAAGTCTCCATGACATTGTTAGAAGCAGGCTATAATATTGATGAAAGACAGGAGGAGTTCTCAACTGGTTAAAAAGAACAGCAAAAATCAGTGTTGATCGGAATTACTCAGAGAAGAGTTCAAATACTAGAGTGGTAACAAATTAAGTGACCATTGCATTATATTGTGTCACAATGTCAAGTATCCTGCGGAGATTTGAACTCCAACCTGATTAAGACCATTATATTTTGTTGAATTTTTTTCTTTGATTTTTGGATGATCCTACATCAACTTGCATTAGACCATGACCTCATATATGGTAACCAAGTAGCCGTAATTTAGAAGTCATAAAACATAGGGAAATCAATAAAGGGTTTGATTGATTTTAGGTATGTAAATCAAAATGAAAGACCCCACCATTTTTCACTGATCACAAACTGCCATTAGAGCAGTCAATTTTTGGCAGTTTTCACTAGACTTGGTCCCACCAGTGAAAATTACTGAGCTGACAAAGAAACACAAGCTAGACCGCTAATCGTGTTCGGTTTTAAGTTCACATTATCCTAATGTCTTCATTCAGAGTCTGCGTTTCTTTGATCGGAAAATCAATGGGAGGCTTTCTAAGGTTTCTCATATGTTCAATCTTGTTCTCCATTATAAGTAGAGCTGCTGCAGTAGATACTATTGCTCCACGTCAATCAATCAAAAATGGTGAAACTCTAGTTTCGTCCAACGGAAGATTTGAGCTTGGATTCTTCAGACCTGGAAGTTCCAACCTGTACTTGGGGATATGGTACAAGAAACCAGCAACTGGGACTGTTGTGTGGGTGGCTAATAGAGAAAATCCACTTTCTGATGGTGAAGGGGTTCTAGTTCTGTACCCAAAGGGAACTCTTGCTCTTCTCAATAGCACAAAGGGTGTCATTTGGTCATCCAACACATCCAGAAGTGCAGAAAATCCAGTTGCACAGCTCTTGGACTCGGGAAATCTAGTTGTGAAAGACGAAAAGCCAGAAAACTATCTGTGGCAGAGTTTTGATTATCCTTCTGATACATTACTACCAGGAATGAAGCTTGGAAAAAACTTCAAAACTGGGCTTGACAGGTTTTTATCATCGTGGAGAAGCACAGATGACCCAGCTCCAGGTCAATACTCTGCACGTATAGACACTAGAGGGTTTCCACAACTACTAATTGAAAAGGGATCTAAAATTCAGCACCGAGTAGGGCCATGGAATGGTAATGGTTTTGAAATGTTAACTTCTTATGTTAAGCCAAATCTAATTACTACGCATGAATATGAGTTAAATGACGAAGAGGTATATTATAAGTATGAGGTTAAAGAAAGTTCAGTTTTAGTAAGGTATGTGTTGAATCCTTCTGGCATTTCCCAGGTCTTTGTATGGAGGGGGAATCATGATTGGGAGCTTCTGTTGATGCGTCCCCTGGGTCTTTGCCAAAACTATGCTTTCTGTGGAAATTTTGCTAACTGCAATATTAATAGATCTGCTGTATGTTCATGCCTGGAAGGATTTGTGCCCAAATATCCATTAGATTGGATCTCAGGAAATTGGTCTGGTGGGTGTGTTAGAGAAACTCCCTTGGATTGTGATAAAGATGTGTTTCTCAAGCATACAGGGTTGAAATGGCCGGATACATCCATTTCCACAGTAAACAAGACAATGACCCTCAAGGAATGTGAGCAAATGTGTTTGACAAACTGCTCCTGCACAGCATATGCAAATGCAGATATCAGAGCTGGGGGAAGTGGATGCTTGCTGTGGTTTGGTGACTTGATTGATATAAGAGAACTCACAGAGGCTAGGGAAGACTTCTATATACGGCTGGCATCTTCAGAGACGGGTACTATTTCATTCCCCTCAACTTTACCTATTCCTTAATGAAGATTATACTTCTTTGAACTCTTTCATGACTATGAAGTTGTTCCTACATTCAGTACATGTCCATTAACTCAACTTTCAATGTTCCAGCTCATCCTGAGTCGACAAAGAAATTGAGGAAGAGGAAGCTAGTAGCAATCATAGCAAGCTCTATTATCCTTGGCACTGGAATCATAATATTGGGGTTTGTTCTCCTTTTAAGGAAGGAAAAACATAGTAAAGAAGGTAAATAATACTCTACCTATTTTTTTTATACTTGATGGTGTATTTTTCAGAGAAATCTTAAACAACAGCTTTTTAGGAGGAAAAAGATGCATCACAATGAATTAATCAATTTTCATTTGACTTGATAAATGCATCTTTCCATACTATTTCAGGACTGAAAAAAAGGGATTTCAGAAAGGATTATGTGAAATGTGGACAGAAGGAAGAGATGGAGTTGCCGATGTTTGATTTGAAAACAGTAGCTAGTGCTACAAATAACTTTTCAAACAATAACAAACTGGGACAGGGTGGCTTTGGTACTGTGTACAAGGTAACATAACATTTTTCTATTATTAATCAAGAAAAATGCAGAATGAAATCAACATAAAAACATATTCACAGCTTCTTCTAACACAAAATTTCTGATTAACAACTGATTTTTGAATGGTTATTGTAAAGGGTACATTGTTAGAAGGGGAGCAAGAAATAGCAGTAAAGAGACTATCAAGGAGTTCCGGACAAGGACATCAAGAGTTCAAGAATGAAGTTATCTTGATTGCAAAGCTTCAGCATCGAAATCTTGTAAAGCTTCTTGGTTGTTGCATTGAAGGAGATGAAAAAATGTTAATCTACGAGTACTTGCCAAATAAAAGTTTGGATTGCTTTATTTTTGGTTAGATTTCTCTTATCCCTCAGCTCTAATCATCTTTTTATAAACTCTCCTATAAGTATTTAATTATTTATTGGACTAACATAGAGGAGAAATGGGTCAGATAAAGAAAGAAGCAAGCAATTAGACTGGAATAGGCGTTTAAGCATTATTGGTGGAATTGCTCGAGGACTTCTTTATCTTCATCAAGATTCTAGATTGAGGATCATTCATAGAGATCTCAAAGCTGCCAATGTTTTACTAGATGGTGAAATGAACCCAAAAATTTCAGATTTTGGCTTGGCCAAATCATTTTGGGGAGAGCAAACCGAGGCCAATACGAATAAAGTGGTTGGAACATAGTATGCACACCTGAACTTGCATCATTTTTAGTATTCCACCATTCATTCCATTGTCACTTATTTTTTTTTTCTGCTTAATATTTTTGCAGTGGTTACATGTCTCCTGAGTATACTGTGGATGGACTTTTCTCAGTTAAATCTGATGTTTTTAGTTTTGGGGTTTTGGTACTTGAGATAGTAACTGGGAAGAGGAACAGGGGATTTTGGCACCCAGATCATGATCATAATCTTCTTGGACATGTAAGTTTAAAGAATGGCACTATTTTCTCCTATTTTTTACAAACAGATCAACAGTGGTTCTATTTTTTCAGGCATGGATATTGTGGACAGAAGGGAGGCCAATGGGACTAGTTGAGAATGTCCTTGGTGATTTTACTGCACCATCAGAAGTTATGAGATGCATTCATATCGGGCTGTTATGTGTACAGCAAAGACCAGAAGATAGGCCAGACATGTTATCTGTGGTTCTAATGTTGAGAGGAGAGAGTGCATTGCCTGAACCAAAGCAGCCTGGGTTTTTCACAGGAAGGAATCTTCCTATCGTTAATTCTTCAGGATGCAAGACTGGATCAAGTTCAATAAATGAGGTTTCAATTACTCAGTTAGATGGACGCTAGAGGGTAATTCAAATATCAGTGATGATTATATGCCAAAGTTGTAAGGGTTTTATTGCTATTATTATTATTGTTGTTATGAGTAATTTTTGAAGTTAAAACGTATAAGAATGGATAAAGGGTTTATTTATTTACTTATTTATTTTTGATGGAGATAAAGGGTTTGACTGATTTTAAGTATACTATTGATTTCATCGAGAAAATTTTAATTCCTCCCTGCCTAATCTTCAATCTTTCATATTCATACCATCACAAAAAGAAAAAAAATCTTTCAAATTCATATTAAGTTAGCAAAAATGTATTTTCAGGTTCAATTGTATGTTAAAAGTATAGTTTATGCATAAATTAATAAAATACCCTCTTTATATTCATTTATTAATGATAACTTAGTAGCTTAGTACAGGAAAAGCTAAAATACATATTAAAAATGCAATCAGAATTGAAAAAACATGAAACTCTTTTAGTCCAGCACGTTAGTCTGCGTTCAACTTTGCAAACAAAAGTCCACACTAGCATGCCTCCTGGCAGAAGAATCAAAGAAAACTTTTTCTAATGACTTTTTAAGTTTTTAAAATTTTTGAATTAAATCCCAAAGTTAAAAAAATTTAACAAAACATACAAATAGAGATTTCCTATTTAAGGATTCTAACTTTAATTTTTCCTAACTAATGATTTGAACCCCACTTATATGGATCTTAAGAGTAAAATCAAAATTTTTAAGACAACAGGATAATGAATAAATTAATAAAAAAAAAATGAGAGAGGATAATTACCATGGAGATCAGATGAGGCTGCAACTCCAGAGGAAGCACAACCAGCCAAACAGTCTGCATCCTTCCAGTATAGCTTGTCGAAACCCCAGCACATAACATACCATTCAGCTGCAGAATCAAAAAAAAAAAAAAAAAAAAACTCAAAAACAGTGTATCCTTAACAGTGTATCCTTAACAGTGTATCCTACTCAGGCATTCCATCGAGCACCTGGTGTGCAAAACAAGAGAACTTCTACCTTTCGAGGACCCATTTTCCCCCAAAACCCAAAATTTAAACATCTTCATTCACACTAAAACCAAGCATAAATCATGATCAAAGGGAATGCCAATTCAAAAACTTCAACGAAATCTTCGATTGAACATTCACAATGAACCTTCTCCAAATTCCAAATCTGTTTCCATAGTTTATTATTTGTTTAAAATGCTAATTTTTGAGCTCAGGTTTCGTTTTGAATTACTACATGGCACTATACCTTATAAATGAAGATTTATTAATAGTTAATTAATTTTAATTTGAGTTGTATATATATCTAGTAATTTTAATTATTAAATTTTTTATGATTAATTTTATTTGTCACAATATACGTATTTTTAGGTAGGTATTTGTAGATGATAAAAACTACCTTTCTAAATGGTAAGCGGCTTGTTCCAGCTTAAACAAAATCTCGAGTTTGAGTCCTTGTGTATGCAGTAATCCTTGCTGGGAGACTCACCTACCATTTTCAAGTGCACGACGCGGGTCGAATCCGGATTAATCGAGGCGAAACTTCGGATACCGGACGAAAAACAAAAAAAAAAAAAAAAAAAACTACCTTCCAGTTTCGTCCTACACCAAACTGTAAGATTAAAACCTTAAAAAAAAGTGAGTTTCTGATATTAGATCCACCTCCCTCTCCTTTTTTATAGCACTGATCTTGCAGTCCATTATAAGGTGGATAGTAAGACAAAAACCTCTTGTAGATGATATTTTTCTTACAATACATGAATGATAATTTACATTTGTGTCGGCATTTTCATTTCATTTGCTCTTCGTTACAACTTCATTTTATCAACATTTTCAGCTTAGTTTGTCACAATAATGGGCAGAAGGGGCAATTCAGTCCCTCTACTTAACTTGTTGTGGCATGCCAGCCGCTCTAGTTAAAAACAGTGCAAATCAGCCCCTCTACTACTTGAACTCCACAAATCACCCCTTCTGTTAACTATGACGTCACGCAACACCATCTTTCTGTCAATTTCTCTATTACCCAATTAACAAAGGATGACTGGGCAATGACATGGCGCTGACTTGGACCAAAAACCAGCTAGCATTGTTTTTTCCTTTTCCCACATGTATAAATATTTAATATTAAGCTATAAAACTAATAAAAGAGATGAATGAAAACTAGAAACCCATCATCGGAGAAATTATTGCTCAGGCAATGAGCTAAAGGTTGGTGGCGGTGGACGCCGAACCACCTTCACCATCTTGGCTATGGCTTTGACCACCAA